TGGTGGTGAAAACGACGTGTTGATATCGAGCCAATGCTAAGTATCACGATCCAAAACCAACACAGGAGACGAAGACATTGGAACCCTCACCTTCTGCACAACTTAAACTTTGAATAGCTCGAGATGCTTTCCCTTCACAAACGTGCATGCTTTGTCTTACAACATTTTGAAGTTTAGGTATAAGGTTGGTATTTTACAAAATTTTATATGTGCATAAAAACATCTAATCATCTAATATTAATTGGATGATTGAAAGTGAACTAATAACAATGTCACACATTAATTAAAGTTAATTTGTAACATTATTTTTGACTTGCCCTTATTATGGGTCACCATAAATATATAATTATATGTTATGGGACATATGTCTAGAGGCATATAAAAAGGTTTCCCTTTGTTGCTATGTTGTGTTTCAACATAGGTATGCATGATCACAACCAATGCATAAGAAGCATGCCATCAACAACAATGTTTCTTAGAGAACACCAAAGCATTTATCTATAAGTTCGACATATTGTGAACTTTACTCGTTTAGACATAAGCCTATTGCTGAAGGTTTTGTAAGGGAATTTGTTTGACCCCATAACTTACGCATGTTATTTGTTCACACCATTTATCACAAGTCAGTGTGAATCTCCAATCATACACTGCGACATTAAGCAGCGAAACATACTCATTGACAGGTCCAATACCCCAAAAATCGTTGACTTTGGGTTGGCAAAACTCTTGCAACATGACCAAACTCAAACTAAAACACTTCTTAGGGGGACAAGGGGCTATGTAGCTCCAGAGTGGTTTTGAAACGTGTCAATCACAGCAAAGGTGGATGTTTACAGTTTCGGGATCGTGCTACTTGAGATCATATGTTGCAGGAGGATGGATTTAGGTCAGGACAACGAGAGGCGAGTGATCTTGTCTCATTGGGTCTATGATTGCTTCTATGAATGAAAGGTGCATGAGCTAGTGGAAAGAGATGAAGAAGCATTGAGTGATTTGAATCAGGTAGAGAGGATGGTTAAGGTGGGATTGTGGTGCATTCAAGATGATCCCTCTATGAAACCATCCATGAAAATGGTGTCTTTGATGCTTGAAGGGATAATTGAAGTTGTTCCTCTGCCTGAGTCCATTATAAGTACATGGGGTTGAGCATGTAACAATGAATGCTTAACATCTATTTGAAACGGTCAAATCCAAATATTTGATAAATCAATATGTTGTGCTTTAATTATAATATTAAGTGTCGATTTGTATATTTTGGTGTTGATGAAAGGGAGATTGTCCATTACCTTCATGTTTTTCTTTTTAGTGTTAACGAGTTTTCCATTGAGAAAATGAAAGCACTACAGCTACAAAATGGAAATAACAATAAAGAAATAACAAAAATAACTAAGAAAAAGCCAAGATGAAGAGCATAGGGCATAAGAATAACGAAAATTAATAAACTATCTATGTTGCCTCTTTCGCTAGAGCATCAACAACACTATTCCTTTCCTTATTGACATGAGAAAATATTACTTCGTCTCAGCTTAGTGAAATAAAATTTCATCTATAGTAGTTGTCTAAAGCCATGGAATAGTAGCAAGAGACGTACAACAGTTTATACAGTAGTTAAATCTCCTTCCACTGTTAGAATATTTTGTTTAGGGGTGAGTTCAATAACCCCTTGCTTAAGGGCCTATAGTTATGCCTAGTTCATCTCATAAATATGCATGCGGCCACTATAAGTCCAAAGGGTTTTACCTTGGCTGTCTCTTAGTAACCCTCCAGTTCCAACCATTATTACTTCGCTCCTAACATTGCCATCAAAGTTAAGCTTTAGGCAACCCATCGAGGAGTCATCCATATTGAAAGTTTGATGTTTCTAGGCCTTTTAGCAAGTAATGTCTTGTGAAATTTATTGTAGAATAATTCCTCGGGGGTACTTTTGAAATCTAAGTGTGCTTGTGCCTATTGGATTACAATGGCTCTCATAATGTTTATAACCTGCAATGGCTCCTTTGCCTTAACATTCACAAAGCTCTAGTTGTTACTTCTCTCCGTATATTCAGACACGCTGCTATAATCACGATCACTCAAAAGATGGATGCCACTTTTAGGGAAGTGGGAGACAAGCCGTGATGGAAATATATTTTTGTCTTTTCGACACCATCTAATTCCAATGGGAGACACCTTTGCACCATTCCCTGATAATGCTAGAGCAAGGACAGTGCAGGAAGATGTAAGAGCTTCAACATCCTACTCAAACAACAAGCATATATTAGTAAGCATCATCCATTCTATCCTCAATTGATCCACCGAGAGGGTATGATTTTGTTAAAACAAACATGAAATAACCTTTACCCCCAATGGTGCCTTGATAACTTAAGTTTCATGGGTAATAGGAAAAGGAGTATATCACTCACATTAGGTTTAGGAATTGTCACTTTGTGGACTATAAATCTCTAGAAATTGCAAGTTTAGGGGAGCATTGGCCACTTTGATGACCATAAATTTGTTTTTGACACTGGAGCCCACCAGACCCTACTGCAGGATAAAAATAGATTCCACTCAATAAAATCAGAATCACTTAAAAATATATAAAAAAACAATAATCACAATCTTTTCTATTTCTATAATTCATTCCGGCAGGCAAAATATATTTTAGAAGTATTTTTTGGGACTGCGTAAAATGGAAATGAAACCCCAACTATCAATGACAAAAATACTTTTAAATGCACTCATGTTGTCCATAAAAACAAAAGTAGTCTTAATATTAAGTATATATCATCTTTTTTTAGGATTGTATGCTATAAGAACATTTACTTTTGGTACAATGAAGTCATAATCGTTCAAATTTTATTTTGGACTTTGTACCTAATCATGATACACCCCCTACCACCAAATTGAACATGTAACAATCAATAATAATTGTTACATCCTTATATCAAAGGTAAATGATATTACTGAATATATATTTTTTTAATTTTTGACACTTAAATTTAATTATTTAATAACTTATATCGAAATCAATCATCTAGTTATTCTTAACCAAATCACTAAATGTCATATCGAGCACAAAAAAACTTCCAAACAACTCTTCTATATGATGAAGCAATTATGCACTTTTTCGCGTGGGAATATGATATGCCCAGCCAAGCCCAAATTGTATACATTCACTTCATACTTGAAGATTTCAAAAGTTTCAAAGGATCACTTATTCACAAATTCTCACTCATGGATCCCCATGATTGGGCCTACCTCAAGTTATATTCAAACTTGCTTCGCAAAATCTACAAATATTACACCTAATTATCTACTTTATATACAATAATAGGTGGTCGTGCAACCCGAATTCAAGGGAAGGGAGATCCCTTGAATGGATGGACCGGATTTCGCTAGTTAACGGCTATCCTATCCATGCATCGAATATCAATAAGGTGCCTCATTGCACTATAAAAGTGAGACGTACATCTGTATGCGCCCGTCTAGATACCCATAGATGTTTGTCCCCGGGAGATGACTCGTATAGGAGATGCATAACTCAAAATAGGCATATCATGTTATCGGCAGTTATGCTATTCGCAATATCTTGAATAAATATAAAATAGAATTAATGCAATAATTTTGCAAGCTGAAATTACCTTTTGGGTTTATTTGTACTTAGTGAGATTTGTATAAGGTTGCAACCGTACTTGTAGAAATAAGGTTGCAATATTATGCATCATCCATTTTAGTTGGATGATGTAGATTTGACACATATTTTTAAACAATATCAAAGTTGATGCATCTTTTAAGGTAATATTAAATCTATATCATCCAAATAAAATAGAAGGTATAGATTTTTGCAACCTACGTATTTCGCACTGTTGTAACCTTCAATAAACATTTTACAATTGCAAATGTTGATAAGGGATTGTATATTTTTACACCATTTGCTATTGATACAATGAGCTTACAACCAGCCTTAATAATCAGATATAAAATCTGATAGTTTCAAGTGTGTCATATAGTTCGAGAAATTTTATTTTGAGCTTTGTGCCCATTTAACGACACATCTCTTCCCGTAAAATTTCACATGTAATTGTCAAAAATATTTGTGATTTCCTTATACTAAAAATAATTTGTCATATCGTATATATTTCCCATCAAGAAAATGGGTGCGGTTGTATAAGGCCCCAATATTAAACAACCAAAGTAAGGTACATCTCCAAATCATGTCAAAGAATAATTTTTCATTGCCATAAACTATTGTGCTGGCCTGGAAATCTATTTTCCAAGCTACCTAGTGAAATTTAAAGTTCCAAAAGTGGTACATAACGGGCAACTCCACAAACATGTGAAAATCTTAAAACTGAACACTCGAGATGATGCATTATAAGACACGTAAATTTCAAGACTTTAAATCCTCTTTTATATGGATACATCTTGAGGTCAAGATGATTAATTATAAGATTATTAGCATGTAGATAACATTTTTTTATGGATTTTTTAGATGTGATTTACACCGTGTATAAACTTTTTCTCAAGAAATTTTACTTAAAAAAGATTTTGGAATAGTATCCTGTCCTGATGGGTGAAAGGGTGCACAAGCACCCTTCCAATGATTTAGATTTAGTCCCATATTTTGTTTTTATTTTTTAGTTAAATAAGGTATGTATTTGAATTTTCAGGTGTAGATATATTTTATTAATATAATTATATAAAAATAATTAAAAATTAAATTAAATAGAAAAATGATAAAATATCCCTAATTTTTTTGACCAATATTTTTTATTGAAAATAATTTATTATTTCTATTTAGTTTTAATTAAAAAATGAACCTCCCAATTTATATTAATATTATTTTTAAATAAAAATCTCAAGATAAAATCAAAATTCATTTTTGGCTCTCGAATGAGGTTGGGTTCAATATGAAGTTACGAACCATTAAGACGCAATACCAACCCGATTTTTTTTTGAGGGCGTGCATGACATTAAGTAGAAAAACAAGGGTATTTATAGACCCTCTGTGGCTTTTCTTCTTGCATTCTGAGTGAAAAATCTGTCGTCCTGCGGTTAGTATGACGAAACCCTAAGAAAGCTATTTTTTTTTGGAAGTTCAGCAGGGAGACCAACCCTAATTTCGCCGTCTCAGTTGCAGGTAAGCAAGCCTGAACTCTCAGACTCCATTAATTATTTATTTTGGTCATCCCACCTCTTTTTTCTTTACCGTCTTCCTCATTGTACCTGCAACCCTAGATTTTACATGCCTATTAATTGACCCACCTCTCTCTCTTAACTTTTTTTTTTTTGTCAAGTCTCTCTCTCTTAATTCTTCAGCTTCAGCTCAGTTGGCAAAAACACTTTTTACTCATTGAAAAATTCCAGTTCTCTCTCTCTCTCTCATGGAGGAATCTCCAATACCTGGAAAACGAAAAGCAGAGGATGATCCTGAAGCCCCCAAAAGCGAAACTGAATCAGACCCAAAGCGCAGAAACATTTCACGTTCATGTGTCCATGAAGTTGCAGTCCCTTCTGGTTACTCTTCGACCACAGATGAATCCATTCATGGGACCCTCTCTAGCCCCTTTTTCAAAGGGGAAATGGCAAAGACCTACCCATTTACCCTAGACCCATTTCAACAAGTATCCATTGCCTGTTTAGAGAGAAATGAATCAGTTTTAGTTTCAGCTCACACATCAGCTGGTAAAACAGCAATTGCAGAGTATGCGATTGCCATGGCATTTAGAGAGAGACAAAGGGTTATTTATACTTCTCCATTAAAGGCATTGAGTAACCAAAAGTACAGAGAACTAGCCCAAGAGTTCTCTGATGTTGGGTTGATGACTGGAGATGTCACCCTCTCACCCAATGCCAGTTGTTTGGTTATGACCACTGAAATTCTAAGGGGAATGCTTTATCGGGGTTCCGAGGTTTTAAAGGAAGTGGCTTGGGTTATTTTTGATGAAATTCACTATATGAAGGATAGAGAGAGGGGGGTGGTTTGGGAAGAGAGTATAATATTTCTTCCTCCTGCTATAAAGATGGTTTTTCTATCAGCTACCATGTCTAATGCCACTGAGTTTGCAGAGTGGATATGTAAGCTACATAAGCAGCCTTGCCATGTGGTTTACACTGATTTTAGGCCCACCCCACTTCAACATTACGTGTTTCCTATGGGTGGGTCGGGTCTTTATCTCATTGTTGATGAGAAAGAACAGTTTAAGGAAGATAATTATTTGAAATTGCAAGATACTTTTGCGAAGAAGAAGACAGTAGCTGACGGTAACAACAACTGGAAAGGTGGAGGGAGGATAGCTAAAGGGGGCTCAGCTTCAGGGGATTCTGACATCTATAAGATTGTGAAGGTATGTGAAAGTTTAACTTTAACTTTCCTCGTTCACGTGCCTTTAATTTGGTAATTCTTATCTTGTGGTCAGTCAATGTGTTTTATTTGCTTTATTCATGAGAAATGATCATGTGGAAGGTTCCTTGTATTTAGTTGGGGGGAGTTCCCTACCCATTTGTCGGTTTAGATATTTAATAGGTGATAGAATGGTCGTTATTTGGTGAGATAGTGTAACTGCTATTCCTCCACCTCTGAGATCTTTAATCCAGTGGGCCACATACAGGGACACCTACCTGATCATTTCTTTTTCATCTGCCTCTGTAGGGACCATGGTGCATATGCATATTATTTGTAGTTGACTTCGCAATGATACTTTTTTCTCAGATGATCATGGAGCGCAAATTTCAGCCAGTAATTATTTTCAGTTTTAGTCGAAGAGAATGTGAGCAACATGCTTTGGCTATGTCCAAACTTGATTTTAACAGCCAAGAGGATAAGGATGTTGTGGAACAAGTTTTTAGAAATGCAATACAATGCCTTAGTGAGGAGGATAGAAGTTTACCTGCAATTGAACTCATGTTGCCACTTCTCCAACGAGGCATTGCGGTGCATCACTCAGGTCTTCTTCCTATAATTAAAGAATTGGTGGAGCTTCTCTTTCAAGAGGGACTTGTGAAAGCTCTTTTTGCTACGGAGACTGTACGTAATCATTGATATGCATGTGAATTTGTCATGGGTTTTATATGTTGTTATTTTTTAGATGGACATGGTTCAGTTGATCCTTAATTTGTATACAGTTTCACTACTGATTGTGGTATCTCGGCATTGATATGTATTATAGTTTGCCATGGGTTTGAACATGCCTGCGAAAACTGTTGTCTTCACATCGGTCAAGAAATGGGATGGTGATAGTCATCGATATATTGGTTCTGGTGAATATATACAGGTTAGTATTTAATTTTTCTTTTTGTTTGTTATTTTCATTTTCATAATTAGGCTATGAATGTTTAATGACGGGAAAATGTGAATCATGTCATTGTATCTGTTTAGTTTTGGTACATTCTCACCCCTTCTTCAAAAATAAATTATAGCAACTCTTTTTGACTGTGATTTTATAGATGAGTGGCAGAGCTGGACGTCGTGGGAAGGATGAACGTGGTATTTGTATCATCATGATCGATGAGCAGGTGTGTTGTGGCTGTTGATATCTTCCTTATATTGGTTCTTGCATCCCACCCTGTACTTTTGTGCAGGTTTATTGTTAGAATTCTTAAGTTAATTTAGGGGGCATGTGTCTTACACCCCATTGTACATTGGATATGTCTTACACCCCATTGTACAGTTTATTAAAGCTGACACTTATCCGAGTCTCCTTGGATCAAGGATCCTGCTTTGTCATTTTTTCAGGGACTTGAACGAATCAGTCTTCTGACTTGTCCAAGTTGGACCACTGACTTGAGCCAGGGACCTTGGCTGGTCTCAACTCTAGTCCCAGTTTTAAAATCACTATTCCTTATTTTTAAAATCACTATTCCTAACTTTCCTCCATGATGTTTTCCATTTTCCAAAAAAATCATGCATTATAAAGCTGGGCAACGCCACTGAGAGGATGCTTTAAATTATGGGAGTTTTGGAGTGAACTCTCATTTATGTCGGCACATAAATTGGTAGATTTGCTGTGCCTTCACAGCTGATTTTCATAAGTTTATATTAATATTTTTTTGAACTTACATTGTACATATTACACACTATCTAACCTTTTAGCTTTACGTAAGTGATGATTCTTTGTATATTTGTGTATGTATTGTTTTTGAAATTGTCTACACAGTGGTTTAGCTTGGTTATATATTTGTCAATTCCCTATCTGTTTCCTGGGCAGATGGAAATGAATACTCTCAAAGACATGGTTCTTGGAAAGCCTGCACCTCTAGTCAGTACTTTCAGGCTGAGTTACTACTCTATTCTGAACTTAATGAGCCGTGCTGAGGGTCAATTTACTGCTGAGCATGTGATCAAGAACTCCTTTCACCAGTTTCAGTATGAGAAGGTACCAATGCAACTTTTTTATGCTCTGTTTCTTAGTCTGACTTGTGGAGAAGCAGCAATGTGTTTGTCCATTGTAATTTACAGACATTGCCAGATATTGGACAAAGAGTTTCCAGCCTGGAGAAAGAAGCTAGTATGCTTGATGAATCTGGGGAGGTAAGATATCTCGAATGACTTTCTTGAATATTGCAGCCTGTATGATGTCCATTCATGCATTTATTGTATCATTGAATGTGCTGTGCTTTTCTTGTACAAATGAATGAGACATCATTATAAATTGATCCATTTTTTTTTAAAAAAATATTAAATGCTTTTTCAATTTTTTTGTAGGCTGATGTAGCAGAGTACCATAAGCTGAGACTAGATATTGCTCAACTTGAGAAGAAGATGATGTTGGAAATAACTAGACCTGAAAGGGTTCTATGTTTTCTTCTTCCTGGTAGGCTGGTAAGTTCCAGTGTAATTATTTTATTGAATTTTGAGGTATGAGGAGTTCCTCTCTTATTTTCATTTTTCTGTTTCAAGCATATTGCTATTAACTTGTTCTGGTACTGCAGATTTATTATATGTGTTTCTTATTTTCATATTGCAAAGAACATTCGTTTCTTCGTATTGTTATGGGGGTTTGCTACTATTTTGATTATGATCATTTATTGAATGTATTGTCCGAATTATATGGCTTCTATGTGTAAGGTTTTTACAGTCTCATTGAATTCTTCAATTTCTATGGTTTATTATTTTCTATTGCTAGTTTAATTTAATTCGTATGACTGTTCTTTGCACCTTTGCAGATTAAGGTTAGAGATGGTGGAACTGATTGGGGATGGTGTGTGGTAGTTAATGTGGTAAAAAAGCCACCTGTGTCATCAGCATCGGTGCCTTCTGCACTAGCCTCTATGCGCTCCACTAGTTATATAGTGGACACTTTGCTACATTGTGCTTCTGGTTTAAGTGCTAATGGTTCTCGCCCAAAGCCGTTACCTCCTAGTCCTGGAGAAAAGGGTGAAATGCACGTGGTGAGTTGAAGCTCATGGGAAGCAACACTTTTAAGCAGGGTCAGTGTGTATGTATTTTCAGCTAGGCAATTGAGGTTTAAGCAACGTGTGTTGGTGAAGTAAAATTGCATGGATTAACTAATGTGAATTTTGTTGAATATTCGTTTTTGTAGGTTCCTGTCCAATTGGGTTTAGTTTGTGCTTTGAGCTCCATTAGAGTATCTATCCCCTCTGATCTTCGACCAATAGAGGCAAGACAAAGTATATTGTTGGCAGTGCAGGAGCTGGGAACACGATTTCCCAAAGGCCTTCCTAAGCTTGATCCGATTAAGGTATGGATTTATATTGTAAAATTAAGATGTATTAAAGTTCTTTTTTTTGTATCTTAAGATGTATTAAAGTTGCATGTGAAGTTCGGAATTATTGTCATGTTTTATCATCAATTTTACTTTCACTTGAAAACTTAACCATTATGAGTTCTCATACGTTTATATTGATGTGTGTGTGTTGGTGGGAGAGAGAGAGAGAGAGAGAACTCGTCGAGTTCGACTCATATGGACTTGAGTTACTCGGGCTTAGTTGTGTTACTCAGACTTGGCAGCCTGTGGAGTCTGGAGGAAAACCTTGGGAACTTGCTGAGTCTCACTAGTTCCAAGTTTTTTGTTGTCTAGTTTCTTGGGACTCGGTTGAGTTCATTGGAGGACTTGGCTGAGTTGGGCTCGAGACCCTTGCAAGTCCTAATTCCAGTCCATGGTTTAAAACATTGGTGTGGACTTATTATTTTTGGCAAAATACCTCCTTGGAAGGATTTTCTCGATCTGAAATTTCTGGGATCCACCTAGAATCACTGAATGAGCTTTTTCGTAAAGGGCGATTTGGAGTTCTTGAACACTCAAGTTGGTGGGCTTTGTTAAATATTAGGATGTTACTTCTTCAGGTTAATGTCAAATGCATATTTTTTTAAATTTTTTTTTGAGGTTATTCGTTTAAATCTCTAAAATATGGGGTCTTAAAGATACTCCTAATTAGAATTTTCGAAAGGGAGTGAATGTAAGATATGCTCACGCAAGAGATTACACATACACAGATGTGTGTAAGTATGTTTGTGTATGCATTTATTTATGTGTTTATTTGTATTTATGTATTTATGTATATACATATATAGGTATAGACCCATATTTGTGTGTGTGTACACAAGAAAAACATTTTGTCAGCCCAAGCATTGATGCAATAGTATACACCCTTGGCCTAGATTCAATTTGGGCTGATAGGAGGACCACAATCATGTTTCATCATTGAATTTGTTTTCTTTTTCTACGAATACAAATTACTTGAAATTTGGGTGTCCATTTTTGAAAATAGGCATTCATAATAAGAATAGAAAAATATTTTATAAAAAGTAAATTGACCAAAATACCTGTGAAATGAATAGGGTTATTCAGGTCAATTTATTTTTAATGAATTTTATTTGTTATATTTTTATTAGGTGCTCCTTCATGAGAAGACTGGACATTTCAAATTTCAGGTGATCTGAATTCGTATAAAAAAATTATAATTCAAATAGGAATCTCAGTCGTGATCGGCAATTGGCTCAAATTAAATCTAGGCCATTGGGCATATAAAAGTTACTCCCTTATATATGTGTGTGTGTATGTAGGTTTTGGATGAACATAAGACTGTTTACTTTTGGCACAAGATGGTCACAATCACTTTTAGTTGTCAAATGTGAAATCCGGTGGCTAGGGGGTATCACAAAGTTCGAGAAATATCTTTACTGGATTTCGAACCATTAATTACATATATTCTCAGCTTGCCTATTTTCAAATCTAACAGCTAAGGGTGATTGTGACCTTTTTGTACCAAAGGTAACTGGTTAGAACATACTTGCTCATACATACACGTAAACGCTTATGCACACAAAGAAAACTACATAATGCTTTGAGTGCTTTCTACAGTAAAACCTTATTGCTCTTTGCCTTCCGATCTTGATTGGAGAATAATTTTATTTTCTTATGTACACTTGGATTGAGCACAATTTTTATGCGTTTATAGTTCTCATAATGCACCTATAAAAAATAGAAAACAACTTTAAAAAACTAAAATGACTAAATACCCCAAGAACTAGTTCAATTTATTTTGATAAATTTAATTTTTAATATTTTTATAGGTGGACCGTGCGCTCTGCATGTTATCTTGTGTTAAATTTTAGAAGGTAAAAATTAAATTCAAATAGTGTTACACTCTTTTAATTGCCAAATCAAGATTGAATGATCAAGAGTGATTGCGTTTCATTGCAGAATAATGATTAAAGCGTTCTCACTCTTTTAATTGCCAAATCAAGATCGAATGGTCATGAGTGATAGCGTTTCATTGCAGAATAATGATGAAAGCGTTATGTGTGTGTGTGTGTGTGTATAGAGCAATGATCCAATGCAACGG